AAGACTACAGCTAGCGCTAATACTACCTAGCGATGAAGACTACTGCAGCGCTCCTCCTGAGTGCTGCGGCCGAAATCCTGAAGACTACTCGTGTGCAATGAACACTACCTACCCGTGAAGTGCCTAGGACAGTCCTATGTACTACCGGGGTGCCTCCTGACTGCTGGCGAGCAGTCCAGGAGGCTGCTCTTGCCAATGCCGATCGGAGGCAGGGGCTGCAGCTGCAGCTGCAGCTCCTGCTCGAGTTCGTGAGGAACAGGCTATTTCTGGCCTGTTCCGCATCCCTGTTTCCGTGCCTGAGTCTTAGGGGCAGGTCGAAACAACGAGGACCTGAAAATGGCCCTCCGTTTCAGGCTGAAAACTCTGGGTCTGAAAAGACCCAGAAATAGGCTGAAACGGGGTAGGGCCTGCAGGCCCTCGTTTTTCAGCTTTCAGGCTGAAACGACCGGGGCCTGTAAGCCCTAAGTTTTAGGCTTTTAGGCTGAATGTCCGGGACGGGCCCTGCAGGGCCCGTGTGGCTACGCAGTATGCCACAGCACGGGTCTATTCTGGGGTTTCTTTCCTTGGGGACGGCTTATTAGCTCTTATGCTCTTTCTCTGTTCTGAGGATGTGATCCTCAATGACTTTCCTGGTGTTGAATTGGAGATTGTCACCCTCAGATTTTTTCCGAAGGGATAAAGATGTTTGTTGTCTGATAGACATGTGAGACTTACGCTTGGCTCAGGGCGGGTGACGATCGCTTTCGCTTGGTTGGGCCTGGTTGGGCACGGCAGCTGATTGCCTTGGACAGACAGGGTGGGTGACGATCAGCCTTCGCTCGAGTCCCTGGAACCCTAGACCCAGGACACCCCCCCCCCATCCAATACCACGCATATGTTCACTGTTGAAAATTTGCCTCAGATGCAGGCAACTGCAAGGAACATGAGTATGGACGAAGCACAGAAATCCAGAATGCAAAATCACACTGAAGTCCAAGTAGTCAAAGCCAAAGCAGATAGCACATGGAACCGAGTAACCATCCAATTGAGAATGATACAGAAGAATCGTGAGTCAATGTCCATGCCCAACAGGGCAACACCAACAGCATAACCCAAATGTAGCTCTCTCTTATGAATGGCGCCAGGCGCCCTATCTACTCTACAGCCTATCCTACAACTACAGCAATGAAAAGCAACCAGACAACTTGACTACTAGAGAGTGATGATGTCAACACCAATGCCGACCTCCACCTTCACCAGGTACGTGTCCTCTTCCCCACACTCTCCCTTGTTACCCACACAGTGCCCTTCACCTCCGAAGAACCACCTTCGCCCTTCACCTCCACTGCGCACACAGGCAGCCCGGCTATGGCCGCCAGTGCCTTGCGCCCACAGGCAGCGCCCTACCGCCTAGCGCATGCCTGTCTCTCACCTCCACCTAGCGCAGCACAGCAGCGCAGCAGCTCGTGTTCGCGCAGCGTGCCGGCAATGCCCGCATTGGCAAAAAGATCCCTGCCCACTCGCCCTGCTTGCCTATATGCCAGTGTTGGGCGGCCTCCCTTCAGCCTGCGACTGGGCCCCAGTGCCTGAACCCAGGCCGATACAGTTGGGGCCCGGGTGATGCAGTTGCGCCTCTCTCGTCAAGGCCTGCGGCCAGATTCAGATAGTGGGCCGATTTTCCTTTGGCATTTTCGGCCTCTATACCCAGCATGCATTGTCGGCCTCACGTTCAAGTGCCCAGGGCCTAACTAACTCAGAGGCCCTGGGGTCTCCACATTTGCAGAGATTCGAGACTCGGTGCACTCCAACCAACTGGCGTGCTGCAACTGTATGAACCCCACTTCGTGAAATGTTTGCACAAAGGGCTCTTATTGATTTGCTGGCCCGCCTTCACTTAGGGCGGTCACAGACCTGGCCCACCTTCACTTAGGGCGGGCACGAGGCTTGCTGGGGGCCTATGCCCAGAACATATGCATGTCGGCAAGGCCCCTCTGAGGGCTCAATCCTCACACAACGCATTGACAAAGAAAAATAAATCACACCTTTCCAAATGCTTACAGAATCAATGCCACAGTGTTGCTTGTGCTAATGATCAATTCTTAAGCTATTGCCTTCTGAATGTAGAACTGTTATATTTTTTCATGCCATGTTGCAATGTCATGGTGCATACTCAAATTTGTGAGCCCACATACAGTACGGGTGAATGGTTGAAGGTACGGGTATTGGCAGGTTTGGCGATGGGCAAGTGCGGTCTCAAACTGGTACAGGTATGGACTCCAACTGGTGCAAAGGGGTGCCGGTGGGTAATAAGCACTAATAACTGGTTTCCGGTGCAGGTGGGGCTGGGTGAGGTTTTTTCTGGGGAGGCAGGTGGGTCGGGCGCAGAAAGCGAAATTGCGAAAAAGACTCAGACGGGCTGGGCTTACATGAGGCGAAAAAAAATTGCTTGGGTAAGGATGTGGAAGACTGAAAAAAATCCTGGGTATGTCAGGTCATGGTGGAGGTAAAAGAAAAAGTGCTCACCTCTGCTGATGTATGAGAAAGACCTGAAGAGAGTAGAACATCAGATATACCCAGGAGAAGATGATTGAACAGGCTAACAAACACAGGACACCATATCAATCAGCGGTAGGCGATCTAGTCTGAGTGAAGTCGAAGTAGTTCACACCAGTGAATGGAATTTCTCAGAATTTTTGCTATCTGCATACCGAGGCCTAATGGGGAGTCCTCGATGTCGTAGGTAATGCTGATGGCCCTGCATATGTAATCGATGTGACACCCCATATGCAACTCTGCCCTGTCTTTCGCGCATCTAAGCTGTTACCATACATACGTGATAACTCATTTTCCTCCCGACGATCGATGATTCCACCAGACATGGATGGGAAGTGGGATTTACACAGCATTAACTAGCATGACACGTTCGCGACAGGTGGGAGACGACGACGGCCACAGAGAGTATACAGTTCAATTTCAATACAGGAACCCGAGGATGATAGACCGTACACAAACAGGGCCTTATTAGAGACCGCCCCAAAGATAGTTGCTGGGCATGAGATGAAGTTACCGGGCATCAGAATTACCGATCAGTAGCTAGTAATAAAAATCTCCAAGGACATCGAAACTGGGACTACTGGAGTGAAACGATTTCACGTGTTCAGGACCGAGATCCAGTCACATGGTCCTAGTGTACCAATAGAGTCCCAGTCCTAGTCGTAGGCAGGACTAGACGGGTCCAGTGGGCTAGGAGGCTGAGTCAAGTGACTCGGCGAGTCCAATACAGTCCAGTCTAGCCAAGTACTCTCTGGAAAACGTCGAAGGTCAACAAACCCAGGCCGACGGGCTACCAGGGTACTGGGCCGAAAAGTTCAAGGACAGCGAAGCTGAATTGAAGCATACGGAAAGCACAGCAGCAGTTGCCGTCAACACGCAATTCCATTCGTGCTTTTGATGCAGAAGCGCTGTTGGGCAGTGGAGTGCCCAAGTGAGGAGTGAGGCACAAAGTGAGGCTGGGCACCGTATCTTAGCATATAGTGTAGCATGAGAGAAGACATTCAATGAGAGAGAGAGAGTGGCGCCGAGAGAGAGATAGAGAGTCCCCAAACTCCTGACAAATTGAAAGATAAGGCTGAATTCTGACTTCCCAGAGCAGCGCAGTTCCTGCCAAGTAGTCAGTCTTGTTTCTCCTCTTTCATTGCTTCCCTATTTTCTACCATCCTGGTTTACTCACACAAACACAGGCCTACCTGCTCGGCCCGGATCTGCCCATCTGGACAGCCCAGTAAATCGCACTTCCAATCCATATCTGGAATGTCCAGTGTCCTTAGCAAGATTCACAGTATGCTCACCTATTCGGCGGATGTTTTCTGCTCTATCTTCTCTTGAAAAACCAAGGTTCTTGTTCAGGCCATCGCGCACAATGTCACCGTCAAGCACATAGCTGATCTTCCCACGGGATGCAAGTGCATAATCTAGAGCATAAGCAACTGTGCTCTTCCCTGCCATCAACAGGCACACAAATTCATGAGGCCACAAGTAATCTGTAAATACACTGCAATAAATATTTGTCAAAAAGACTCGAAATCCATTAATTAAACATGTCAGCCGAGAACTGTGCTAGTCTGCTCACGATAACATCAGCTCGCTGGTGCTCCTCACAAGCCCAGCAACTACACAACTGTGTTGGACAGCTCATGGGCAATGATTCGTTGAACGGCTTATCAAACCGAAAACACACACACACACACACACACAAACAGCCACCCACCCACACACAAACAGCCACACACCCACACACACACACACACACACACACACACACACACACACAACAACAACAACAAAACAGAACAAAACTTTGGAGCAATGTATACAAAAAAGAAAATCCAATTCTTTGAGCAGCTTATCAGGTGATTGTATCAGATAACCGATCCCACTCACGCAGATGCCAATTCAACCTACAACCGACAAGAATTGACTGTTAGACACACAAGGGAACAGCTGCGGAGCACTAAATTCACAAAGTGCAAGAGAAAGACTTAACAGACACATTTGTTCAGAAAGAGGGCGTCAACAGAAGTGACAAGTGAAGTCATCAAAATTGATCAACAAGACCCGAAGCAATGATAAAGTTACAGTTCCGCCTGGGGCCCCTGGACCTCGAGAGCCGCAAAGCAGTCAACTAACAAAGTGTAACGGAAACAGTGAAAGAGCTTCAAAGAGGCGCGATCATTCGGAAAAGAGTATGTGAACAGGAATGACAAGAGATGGCATGGCATCAATATATGACAATACAAAGCAATGACGATTTTAAGGTTCAGGCGTGTTCGATCTTGCAGGGTATTGAAGATTTATTTTCTGGAATGTCTTGGTACCGGCACATTTTACATTCTCTTCGTCACACATTTTCCACGAATACCTTTCTGGTACCAGCTTATTCTGAACCCCAGAGACCAATAAGGGCATTCAGATGGTCTCCCGTATACGTATTATGTAACAGTAAAAAATGCTCGAGTGATATCCTGCGTTCATATTCTGCGTCAGACTGCCATGAGCACTGCACTGAGTTACCTCCTGGTTTTCTTCATGCGGGATCAGTTCATCGTCAAAATTTCACAGTCGGTACCTGAGTCGACTGTATGTGCGCAGTGACTCCCTCTCCCTCCTCCTCCTCCAAATCACTCAGTGCTTGATACAAACAATAACAATAAAATAAGCAGTTCATGGATAAGAATGGCGTCCGGATATTGAGAGCCATATGTGCAGACATGAAAAAAAACTGACTCAAAAAACAGAAGACGGATCTGGAGTGAAACAAAAAGCTCCCATGACAGTTGTCATAACAGTAGTAGGATTCAAATTCCAAACCCCGCATAGCCATCTAAGCCCTCCACGGGGTTTCACAAATGCACTATCCAATACTTGAACCAGGGCTGAAAGGGTGGCCCAGGCCCGGCTGCCCCGCCAGAGAGCCAGGCCTGAGCAGACTGGACCCACCTGCCTGGATCACCCGTGCAGCCTGAGGCAGTCCAGCTGTTAGCCCGACTTGAACCGAACGATGTGGAATGTACATATGGAAGTCTGACCGCAATTATTTCCAGTCAACACAAAGAAATTAAAAATGGGTGCATCTTAACAGCCCCGTGTCAGGTTCACAGGGATAGTGAGAACACATGGCACATGGGACAGGGCCCAAGCCATCACAGACTTGAGATTGTGGGGGCACGAGAAAATTCCACTGCACGATGGTGTGCCACCGCGCGGCTCAAAAACAAGTACGCCAGAGCAGAAAAACTCTGCCATGCCTCTTCGGGTTGGCACTGGGACATCAGAGAGAGAGAGAGAGAGAGAGAGAGAGAGAGAGAGAGAGAGAGAGAGAGAGAGAGAGAGAGAGAGAGAGAGAGAGAGAGAGAGAG